TATGTTTATAATTACATTATTGATATAATTTTAGGTTGATATTTTCAATCTCCTCCCTTTTAATTTTCTCTTTCATTATTTCTCCCTATTTGATTAAATATTAATTTATGTTATCTTATTTGTTTTCCAAGAAACATTAGGGAGATAATCAATGGGGTAAGTAAATTTTCTTTGTGTAAATTTTATTTATATAAGCCATTAGAGATATTAGGGTTGAAATTTATTATAGATAAATACTAACTTAATTTATGTTTTTTTATTTTCTTAGGAAATGGTGTTTTGCAAATCTTCATATATTGAGGTAATCTTTAATTAAAATTTTAAGTTATCTAGTTCTATTTTAATTTTGTCATTTTATTTTTGTTTTAAGTTATGTTTTAATTTTTAATTTAAATAAATAAATAATAAATAATTTTTTGATTACATTATAAAATTTTCATATTATATTTATTTTTTATAATATTAAATATTACGAATTACTTAATGTTTAATTGTAAATTAATTGAATTAAACAATAAATATATATATTAATTTTAATATGAGCTGAATCCAAGATATTTTTTTTTTATTTTTTCAGGGTTCATTACCAATGTGATTTACGTCGGTAAGCAGCAAAACAGTAATAAAAAATGGTGCCTGAAAAAATTGGCGCCTAAAATTTTGGGGATAAGCTGAATTCAAGATATATTTTTTTATTTTTTCAGGGTTCATTACCAACGTGATTCTCGTCAATAACTAGGAAAACAGAAATCAAAAATGGCGCCTGAAAAAATTGGCGCCTAAAATTTTGGAGATGATTTCAACCTGCAGCGAAGATCTTCATGGTCAGACGTGGTTCTTGTCGGTGATTTAGTAACCTAGCCAACCATTTCCGCTGCATTGTCAGACGTGATCTTCGTCGGTGATTAGCACAGGGCTCGAGGCTGCTCCAAATATGCAGACGCCATCCTTGTCGGTGATTTACTGACGTGGAACCAGAGATGTTTTTCGGTAACTATTCCGGCTCCCTATTTGCAAGATGTTTTTTGTCGGTAATTGTCAGTGCGTTTACCGATGTAATTTTCATCTACGTCGGTGATTTAATTACCAAGCAGGGCTTCACCGAGGCACCCATTACCGACGTGATGCAAGTGGGCATTTTATTTCACCGACCAGATTCCCTCTTTCTCCGACATGCCTTCTCGTCGGTGATACAGTGAATTCTTATAGTGCTGATTCAAGTCTCCCCATCTCTCTTTTTTGTATTTGTATAAATGCCTCGGTCAATTCCATAACGGAATCTTGTAATTTTTCTTTTTTTTTTTGGTTATGCAGGAAGACCCATTATGCTGGAGAAGCCACTGGAGTTTTGTTCATACAATGGAAGTTCCTGCTGTGACTCTGCTAAAGATTTGCAGTTGCAAAAGCAATTTCAAGCATTGAACATTTCAAACCCAGAATGTGCTTCTATTATGAAGTCAATTCTTTGTTCAGTAAGTCTTCATTAGCGCTTTTTCTTACTAGCTGATCAATGAATCTCCATTTTCTTCAAGAAAACTTTTCACAAATATTG